AAACACAGCAAGGACTCAGACAAGAGATTTGGTCCTTCTGCAGGCCCTTAAGAAAGGGACCCTGTCCTAAAAAAATGTCTCTTTATCTCTTCTTCCCAGATGCTCTCAGCTACCAGTGAACTACCCTGTCCACAATCAATGATGAGGTTTACAAAGAAGTACACCTGCACAAGGTCACATCTGCTGATACCCACGCCAAAGGATTAAGAACTCAAGTGAAGTTGTTCGCTAGCAAGTTGGTGGTTGACAAACGGAAAATAAGGAGAGAGCTTCAGACTGCCAAGGCTGCCTGTGTAGGGGAGAAGGGGAGGGTCTTCAGGGTCATAGGGCTGGGGACGTACAGAACTATGATAATGGCCTTTTCTTGACCACTCACTCATCTACCACCAACCCTAGCAGAAAGACAGAGGAGGTGTTTCTCCATCCCTGCTGCTTCCTTATTTATCCCAGTCTAAATCCTTGACCAAGTAGGGCTGGATACCAGGATTGAGATGTCACAATTATAAGGGGGGTTCAAGGAGGGGAAACCACAATACTTCATCTTCTCTTGCCGTTATCTTTTTCTGTTAAAAATATGATGCTTAAAAAGTACGTAAACATCTATCTATTTATCATTTACTTTGAAATTCAGCCTTTGTTTTAGCCAGAACCAAATGCTGACATAGCATTCTTCTCCAGGCTTAATATGACGTACTCACTTAGGGAAGGGCTGGGAAGCTATGAACCTTCTGAAATTAGATGAAAGCTGTGTGCATATGCAAATTTTCCCAGGGACAGAGATTATCACTTTTATTAGATTCACAAAGGATCTGTGTTAGAGACCCTGGGAGGAATTAAACACCTCTGTGAGGATAACCCGTAGCGCTTTGCTGCACTGTCCTTGGAGGCTGTGCTGACAGTGACACCAGTGGTGACTCCCCCAGGGCCCCTCGTGGAAAGTTAGAAATGAAAGCAGCTCAAATAAGGAAGCCTGACTACCGAGTGAGGCCAATGGGAGAGAGAATTAGGTAGGGGAGGAAACCTCTAGACTACAGCAATTATCAATCAGCATGGGGAGTTGGGAGTCTGAAGAAAAGTTGGGAGTCTTTTTCTAGAAAAAAACAATTCTTTAAAAAAGTAAGGATTCTTCTAGAGGATGTGTACTTTAGAAGATAATTTGGCATGGCTTAGTGTCTTAGTGTGCTCGGCTGCCATAGCAAAATACCCCAGACGGGGTGGCATAAACAACAGATATTTATTTCTCACAGTTCTGGAGCCTGGAAGTTCAAGATCAAGGTGCCAGTATGGTCATTTCCTTGTGAGGACTCCCTTTTAGGTTGCAGACAGCTGCCTTCTTGCTGTGTCCTCACATGGGGAGAGGGGGGATGTGGGTGGGAGAGAGAAACAATGAGCAAACCTCTGGTCTCTTCTTATGCAGGCACTGATCCCACCACGAGAACCCTTCCCTCATAACCTCATCCAAACCCAGTGATCTCGCAAAGTCCCATCTCCAAATCCTGTCACACTGGGGCGTAGGGCTTCAACATCCACATTTTTTGAGAAATGATTCAGCCCATGGCACCTAGTAAGGTTAAAGATACATAGTGATGGTTAATTTTGCGTGTCAACTTGACTGGACCGCAGAGTGCCCAGAATAAACCTTATTTCTGGGTGTGTCAGGGAGGGTGAGTCCAGCACCCAATCCTTTGAAAGCCTGAATAGAACAAAAAGGTGGAGGAAGAAGGAATTTGCTTCTTTTTTCTGGCTTCCCGGCTTGAGCTGGGACATCTCATCTCATCTATCTCATCTATCTCATCTCGTCTCATCTCATCTCATCTCATCTTCTCTGGGCCTCAGACTGGGTAGCACCATCAGCTCCCCTGGTTTTCAGACCTTCAGGCTTGAACTGAATCATACCACCTGCATTACTGGGTCTCCAGTGTGCAGACATGAGGTCACGGGACTTCTAACCTCTATAGTTGTGTGAGTGAATACCTCATAATAAGTCTGTCTATCTATTATCCATCCATCGACCCATCCCACTGGTTCTATTTTCCTGGAGAACCCTGACTAACGTATGCACATAGGTTGCTACCCAGCAATTCTGACCCTCTATATATGCATTAGAGACACACCCGTACACGTGACCTAACAGGTGCATTGAACATTCTCAGCAGCACTGCTAGCAACAACAGCAGCAGAATGGACAGACACACGAGACACATTCACACGGGGGACACTGTGTAGCAGTGAAAAGAAATGAACCACATCTCCAGGCATGAGCCAGGAAGGATCTCACCAATGTTGGGCAGGAAGAACTGGCTGCAGAGGATACGTACAAGTGACCTGGTTTATACGAAGCTAAAAAATGGGCACAACTGAGTACTATATTGTCTGTGAATATACATATGTGGGACAGGGCTTCCAAGAAAGCCAAGGAAACAAGTAACCAAGCTCAGAGTATTTCCCTGGGGATGGGGTGGCAGGCTGTCAGAGGAGGGCACGTTGAGTGGGGCGTCTCTGGTATGGGTAATGTTCTCTGCCTTCAGCTTGGCTCATGGGAATGTAGCAGTTTACTTTATCATTATTTTAAAAAATATATGTGTGTATACATATATACACACACATGCAGTACAATACATATTTACATAATGTACATCACATATACCATATATCATATACAAAGCATAACATTCTTGTATGCATATTTCTTTTTTTTAAATTTCTTTTTTTGACACAGAGTTTTGCTCTTATTGCCCAGGCTAGAGAGCAATGGCACGATCTCAGGTCACTGCAATCTCTGCCTCCCATGTTCAAGCAATTCTCCTGCCTCAGCCTCCCGAGTAGCTGGGATTACAGGCATGCACCACCATGCCTGGCTAATTTTGTATTTTTAGTACAGATGGAGTTTCTCCATGTTGATCAGTCTGGTCTTGAACTCCTAACCTCAGGTAATCTGCTCGTCTCAGCCTCCCAGAGTGCTGGGATTACAGGCTTGAGCCACTGCACCCAGCTTGTATGCATATTTCAAATTTAAAAAGAATCTCATTAGAAAAACAAAATGTCAAAAATAAAAAAATTAAAAATTCTCGTTAGAAAAACAAAATAAAGTTTTAAAAAAGGGAGAATCAATAAACATTACAATAGAGTCACGCAATGGAATACTAACCAACAATAAAAATCGCATTACTCATATGTATTAACAGCATGAATGAATCTCCTCATAACTATGCCAAGATGCACACATCTCACCGTGCTGAGCAGCAGGCACAAAACAATGTATGCTCCACGGTTCCGTTGATACGAGTTCTGGGACAGACATAACTATGGTGATAGAAATCAGATCAGTGGTAAGTGTGGGGAGAGGAATTGATGAAATGGGTGAGAGGGAACCTTCTGGGCTGATGGAAATGTTCTATACCTTGTTTAGGGTGGTGGTGATGTGGGTGTGTGTTTACATTAAAAAACCAATGAGCTGTATTGCACATTTAACATCTGTGCATTTACCTGCATGAGAATTATACCCCAATACAAATGAAAGTTGGGGATGAGAGTTTAGCTCCTCCTTTGATTCTGCTGACAACCTCAGGCCTTGGGCCACCCAAGGCTTGGAGAGGGAGGCTCTAGGACTGCTGGGAGCTGGCGAGGGCCGGACCATTGGCAGCTTGGCTATGGAGGGCAGGTGGGGGCTTCAGGCCAGCCAGGGTGTCACAGGCATAGAAGGTAAAAATGGCTGTCCCAGCAGCCTTCTCTTCTACATCAGAGCTAAGCAGAGTGGACAAACTGACTTTTGCCCCAGGATGAGGCTTCAGGGTGGCCGATCCACTCTAGAACAAGAATTCCAGTTAGGAGCCAGAACTGGGTATTGCAAGTCAGCCCCCAAGAGTGGAGGAAGCTTTGGGTTAGACAGAGGGCACACTCTAGGGTAAGGCAGAGGCTCCACTCCAGGCCTCAGCGCCTGGAGCAGCTGTCTGATCCTGAGTCCTCTTCCTCATCTGTGCAGCAGAAGCACTCACCGCCAGGCTGATGTAAGGCTCGTAGATTACAAGGAGAGGTGCCCCAAGGATTCAAAGCTCAGGAAGTTACAGCTTTTATTATGATTGCGCACGACCTGCTGCACCCCTTTCCTTGCTTATTTTCTTCCTGTGTCATATTTGTCGTCCTCATCTTCTTCCGCTTGTCTTCTTTCTCTCCTCCTCCTCCTTCTCCTTCATCTTCTTCTCCTTCTCTTTCTTCTCCTCCTCCTCCCTCTCCCCTCATGTCTCTTCTCCTCCTCCCCTCCTTTCTCCTCTTCCTTCTCCATTTTCCTTCTTCTTTAATTGCAGCTCCCAAAGGCATTCAGCATACACTTTTGTTAACGGAAAAAGCCAATTCCGTAAAGTATTTTAAAGAGTTTTATTCTGAGCTAATATCAGCGACCATGGCCCAGGAAACAGTTCTGAGAAAGTCCACCTGAGGTGGTCCGGTTACAGTTTGGTTTCATACATTTTAGGGAGACAGAAATTATAGGTGAAATAATAAATTCATGCATAGAAGGTACACATTGGTTCAGCCTAAAGACGCAGGAGCTCTTGAAGCAAGGGGGTATAGGTCATAAGTGGATTCAAAGATTTTCAGATTGGCAATTGGTTGAAAGAATTAAGCTTTGACTAAAGACTTGAAGTCAGTGGAAAGGAATGGCTGAGTTAAGATAAGGGGGTTGGGGGCCAAAGTTCTTGTTATGTAGAGGAAGGCTCTTAGGTGTCAGCCCTTGGAGAGAATAGATGGTGAATATCTCCTCTCAGATCTTAAAGGTGTCAGGCTCTCAGTTAATCTCTCCTAGATCCGGGAAAGGCCTGGCTGCATTAAGGGCGATCTTCTACAGATGCAAACTTTCCCCACAAAAGATAGCTTTGTAGGGCTATTTCAATCTGTCGGCCTTGTGGCGACCATTTCATTTATTTTTTAAAATTTACTTTTATTTTTAAATTATTCTTACAGACAAGGTCTCACTATGTTGCCCAGGCTGATCTCAAACTCCTGGCCTCAAGCACTCTTGCCACCGAAGCCTCCCAAAGTGCTGGGATTACAGGTATGACCCACTGCACCCAGCCAAAAAAAATTTTTTTTTTGCCTTTTTTTAATCTTTTCTTCCCTTCCTCCCTCCCTCTCTTCCTTTTTCTCTCTCTCTTTCGAGACAAGGTCTCACTCTGTCACCCAGACTGGTGTGCACTGGCATGATCACAGGACACTGCAGCCTTGAACTCCTGAGCTCCAGTAATTCTCCCACCTCCACCTCCCAAAGTGCTGGGATGACAGGTGTGAGCCACCACACCCAACCAGCCATTTCAGAATGTGTCAAAGAAATATATTTTGGAGAAAAATGTTTTGATCTCCTTCAGGTCGGCTGTCATGTGACACTACACCTGAGTCAGGATGGAAAGTAAGCCACATCATACTGGGCTAATAGACACCTGTCTAACGTGATTTCATGGTGTGTCCGGCATGACTGAATCCCTGACTTGCATGACTTCAGGTCTTGCTTATAATTTGGTATCTTACTGGCACAAGAGTCTGTTTTGCCAGTCTTATAATCTCTATTTTAACATAAACGCCAAAAAGCAGGGGGTGCAACAGGGTGTGTCTGACCTCCCTTCCCGTCATAACTGGGGATTCAGTTTCTCAAGTTTCTCTGGGGTTTTCTTGAGCAATGAAGGGGGCCCGTTCATTTGGTTGGAGGGCTTAGGATTTTATTTTTGGTTTACAATTTTTATAAAACAAGTAAGTCGATACACCCTCCCTGTATTTGGTTTCAGAAGTTAAAGAACAAAAAAGACTTTGTATAAGACTGAGAAATAAAATAAAATAAAAAGTCCCACAACCAACTGGACGGAACCTCCTCTTGGCCAAGGGCCCCCCAGAGAAAGATAACTGATTTCCTGGCTGCCCCTCCCCTCCTCTCCCCTCCCCTTCCCTCCCCTGCCCTCCCTCCTTTGTCATCCAGGTTGGAGTGCAGTGGTGCGATCTTGGCTCACTGCAACCTTGCGCCAAGCAATTCTCCTGCCTCAGCCTCCCGAGTAGCTGGGATTATGGGTGCACACCACCAAGCCCGACTAATTTTTGTATTTTTGGTACATACGGGGTTTCACCATATTGGCCAGGCTGGTCTCAAACTCCTGATCCCAAGTGATCTGCCCACCTCGGCCTCCCAAAGTGCTGGGATTACAGATGTGAGCCACCGCACCTGGGCACAACCAACCAGCATTTCTTCCTGAAAACAGACCACCAACGGCGGACTGGCTCTGGCCAGTCGAGGGAGGATGCACAGTGAGGAGGGGTCTTCTCTTCACCTTTTGACGTCAGAGGTCCAAAAGCTCCACCCCCGGATCATGCTAAGAACATGGGTCCTATGGAGAGTCACAAAGCTCAACTACACATGCGCACATTTCTTCTTTCATATTCATGACTCCTCCCATGCTTACTGAATATGCATATCTGGGCACGCTGCTTAGCATAAATCCCTGACTTCTTATTCTCACTCTCTAGGTGCCCGTTCTGGCTTCTGGCCAGAGGCTACCCTTCTCGGCCTGTCAGAATGACCACCGCGCAGGCTGCAACGCTGTATGAGAAAAAACTCTCCTTTCCAAATGTATGAACCTTGTCGTTCTTCAGTTGACTAGACAAAGCAGGCAGGTAGAAGGGAAAAGGAAGAGGAACTTCACTTTCATTTTTATAAGCCGTTTTTCCTGTTCATTAAATCTAATTCAGAAAATGTCAGCTGAGTACCTCCTCTAGCTTGGGCACTGTGCGAGCTTCTGGGAAGCAAACATGAATCAAATGCATTCCCTTGCCTGCCTCCCAGAGCTCGCCGGCTTTTGTATTATAATAGGCTCGAAAGCTTCTAGAATAAACCTTGGTGAAGAAAACAATTGTTATGTATATCATGCAATTTCCCCTTAATTGATCCATTATATAAAGGCAGAATTTTTATATTTTGAATAAAATTAGAAACAATCCATTTGGTGGGCCAGTTTTAGACTAACTGATGATTTCTGAAAATAATTTCCGGAGGCTTGAGAAGCTGGTTAGTCAAATTGGACAGAATATAAAGTTTTGAAAACAGGCCATGGTGCCTACTGGGTGGGGGGGGTCTTCTTGCACTCGGCAGGTTCTTTGTGGGCTGATGGTGAAAAAGAAGCTGCTCTCGCTCTTGCAGAAGTTACAGATGAGAAGGGGACACATGAAGGAAAGTACTCAAAGCGATACAAGATGAACACTGACGCTTCAAGTGTGGGCAAGGAGCTAGGGCAGCATGAGGGGAGATCCAGCCGTTATGGAAACCTCAAGGGGAGAGGGAGCTTGAGGAATGAGAGGGACTTTGTTATGAGGTGAGGATGGGGCTAGCAGACATTCCAGGCAGAGGGGACAAAGCTGAGTGCCGGGATTAATTTTATGTGCCAGCCTGACTAGTCACAGGCTGCCTAGAGAGCTGGTACAACACGATTTCTGGGTGTGTCTGTGAGGGTGTTTGAGAGACTGGCATTCGAATCAGTACATAGAATAAAGTGGATTGCCCCTACTAGTACAGACAGGTATCATCCCATCTGCTGAGGGCCTGAACAGAACAGAAAGGGAGAGGAAGGGCAGATGGGCTTTCTTTCCTCGAGCTGGGCCATCCCTCTTCTCCTACCCTCCGACATCAGTGCTCCTGGTTTCCGGGCCTTGAGACGCAAATAGTGAGAGACAGGACTAGCTGGATTTCCTAGGCTGACTAAGAATTCCTAAGCCTAGCTGGGGAAGGTGACCACACCTACCTTTAAACACGGGGCTTGTAACTCAGCCCACACCTGACCAATCAGGTAGTAAAGAGGGCTCACTAAAATACAAATTAGGCTAAAAGCAGGAGGTAAAGAAAGAGCCAATCATCTGTCACCTGAGAGCACAGTGGGAGGGACAATGATTGGGATAGAAACTTCAGGCATTCGAGCCGGGAGTGGGGGGCAACCCCCTTTGGGTCCCCTCCCATTGTATGGGAGCTCTGTTTTCACTCTATTAAATCTTCCAGCTGCACACTCTTCTGGTCCTTGTTTGTTCCAGCTCAAGCTGATCTTTTGCTCACTATCCACCACTATTGTTTGCTGTCATCGCAGACCCTCAATTGACTTCCACCCCTCCGGATCCGGCACGGCGTCTGCTGCGTTTCTGATCCAGCAAGGTGCCCGTTGCCACTTCCATTTGGGCTAAAGGCTCACCATTGTTCCTGTGCAGCTAAGTGCCCAGGTTTGTGCTAATCAAGCTGAACACTAGTCACTGGGTTCCACGGTTCTCTTCTGTGACCTATGGCTTCTAATAGAGTTATAACACTCACCGCATGGCCCAAGGTTCCATTCCTTGGAATCTGTGAGGCCAAGAACCCCAAGTCAGAGAACAAAAGGCTTGCTGCCATCTTGGGAACAGCCGCCACCCTCTTGGGAGCTCTAAGAACAAAGACCCACCCGTAACAATAGGACTTAGACCACGGCCCTCCAATTCTCCACCTTTGGTCTCGGATTGGGATGTATGCCATCAGATCCTCTCAGGCCTTCAGGTTCGAACTGAAATGAGACTCCCAGCTTTTCTGGACCTCCAGCTTGCAGCAGGCAGGCCATGGGACTTCTTGGTGTCCATAATCACATGAGCCAATACTTCATAATGAATTTCTTCCTATATCTATATAAATGGGATATATATGGAGATATATATATATGGAGATATATATATGGAAATATATATGTATGGAGATATATATATATGTATATCCAATTGGCCTTGTTTCTCTGGAGAGCTCTAATACACTGAGACATCAGTGACTTCTCAGTCAGGGCAGGCTAGATAATGCTGAGTAACAGACAACCCTAAGGTTACCATGGCTTAAGGAAGCAAGGTGGAAGTATCTCTCATGCTCACGTCATCTTTATTGGCAGTGGGCTCTGCTCTAGGGTGTCTATCAGTGTCCCTAGACACTGGAACCACCATCTATGGCATCGCTGTCTCCTTGGTCTGGGAGAACCCAGGGAATCACATGCTGCTCTTCAAAGCTTCTCTGCAGAAGCCACACATGTCCTTTTCACTCACATCTTAGTAGTCAAAGCAAGTAACATGGTCACACCTAACTTCAAGGGCATGGGGTCCTGCCGTCCTGCCATATATACAGAAGGGGAGGAACCGCTATAGATGAACAGCCTCGAAGCGTATTGACCGTTCACGGTGGGTGTGAAGCGGCCAGGGTGGTTGGAAACAGGCGTGGTGAGATTGTGAAGTGCCCTGCCAGGCTCCACAGTTTGGACCCTGGAGCTGTGGAAGGCCTCTGATCAGCACAGACTCAGACACAAGGCCCGTGTAAGCTTCGGAAAGAGGATGCTGGTGGTGGCCTGGAGAGGGTCTGGGCAACCAGGGACAGGGAGGAAGATTCTGCATGGACTGCGGGACAAAGTGGAGGAGAGGTGATGAATTTGAGAGGTATTTCTGAGGTAAAATCAGTGGAATTTGGTGAAAGACTCGCTCTGTCAAGAGAGGAATCTAAGACGGGGTGGAGCATTTTCAGTTGGGAGATGAGGCCATTGATTTTATGACTAACAGCAACAGTTAAGCAGAAACAGAGGCTCCAGGGAAGACAAGCTCGATCTGGGACGCTTGGGGTTTAAGATTTCTGGGGCATCCAGGACATTGCGTCTCCTCCACACACACGGCAGAAGCCCTGGAAGCTAGGTTGAGAGTTACCTTGGGGGCTGCTGAAGGGCTGGCAGTGGGTGGGCACCGCAAGACAGAGGGCACAGAGTGAGGGGGAGGCTCTGGCTGGAAGCCGGGCACGCACAGGTGGAGACCAGGGGGCAGCCAGCGGGCCACGGGAACACCGAGGGGAGGCAGCTCCCCCCGAGCAGCTTCAGTTTCAGCGACAGCCCTGGTGGACGCGGGGGAGCCGGGGGAGCCGTGAACTCGAAAAGGAGACGCCTGTGGGATACTCCGAAGTCGCTAGCGATATTTGAGAGAGCGATTGCAGTGCAGCTGTGGGGGCAGACACCGCCAAAGGCAGAAGGGCCTTCTTCAGAGGGCTTCACACAAGCTCTTTCCTCCTGGGCTCCGTGGCCCAAGTTCCAATCCTAGCACTTTAGGAGGCCGAGGTGGGCGGATCACAAGGTCAGGAGTTCGAGACCAGCCTGGTCAACATGGTGAAACCCCCTGTCACTAAAAATACAAAAACTAGCCGGGCGTGGCGGCAGAAGCCTGTAATCCCAGCTACTCAGGAGGCTGAGGCAGGAGAATCGTTTGAACCCGGGAGGCAGAGGTTGTTGTGAGCTGAGATCCCGCCACTGCACTCCAGCCTGGGCGACAGAGCGAGACTCCGTCTAAAAAAAAAAAAAAAAAGAAAGAAAGAAAGAAAAAGAAGACACTCCTTAGCTTCCTGGAGAGCGTTTCTCACTCTCCTGGGCTCTCGCCTGTGGAGGCCTCCCGACCCGTGGCGCCCGGGAGCCTCTGCTCCTGCAGCCCCGCGTGCAGCGCCCACTGTCTCCTGCGCAGCCGGGGCCTGGTTCTCCTGTCCCTGCCCGTGCTCAGCTGCCTCCGCGTCCGGCGGGGATCGGGCATGTGCGGTGGTCATCTGTGCAGCCTCAGTGTCCGTCTCGCAGGAGAGGTCCAGGAAAATCCATCACCTTTGAATGAGGGGAGGTGGGGGAGCCAGCATGTCTGTAGGCTGAGAAGGAGTCAGTAAAGAAAGACAGGTGTAAAACCAAAAAGAAGAAAGACTAGTCACCGGGGAGAGATGGGACCAGAGTCCAGGAGAAGGGATTTCCTGGGCAAAGGCCTAGGGATGCTCCTACCAGGGACAGAATGCAAGACAAAAAGAGCAAGAAAAGTGGTGGATAATACACGTCCAGTTAAAGATGGCAGGCTGAACACCCGTATTTATCTCAGCTCCTTTGGGAACCGCAGGAAGTTATAGTCACGGAGAGAACAGTGTATAGACCATCCTAGTGGACAAGAGCATCCGATGATCAGAGGAAAGGAAGGCAGCAGGGAAAGAACAGAGAGCGAGTCGCCAATGAGATGTGCGAACAGCCCGGAGTCTCCCTGCAGAGCCCCGGAAGCCTGGGCACAGGGAACCCCGGAACACCTGGAGAGGGGTGCATTGACTGCAGAAGCACATACCCTCCTCCCACACCGGAGAAATGCGTCCAGAAGCCTGTGGACTCTGGCAGCGGGAGAGAGGGGTGAGAGACTGCGGTGAGAACAGGTTACCTGTCCGTTGTGGATGGGGAGAGCTTCCAGCCCTGCCCCGGCTTCCTCCACAGCACAAGTAGACACACCTGTGCTGGGTCCACACCACCCCAGGGTGCAGACCGAATGCCTCATTACTGCAGTAACTACATAGCCCCAAAGTAAAGGCCTGCAGCTTCTCTAACTCGGGTCTCAGCTCAATCGCGCTAAGGAGAATTGTTATCTCCAATTAGATTTCAATCATTTACTTTTAAATATATACAAAGAATGATCAAACATTTGAGAAAGCATCATATGTGAAAGTTAGAGCTCAAAACAAACAGGGAAAAATGTAGTATCTCCCAAAGTACTGCACCTATGAAAAAA